TTATAAATAATAAAATAAAATGCAAAATTTTGAATACTGATTTAAAAACTTTAATAAGTCAATAATAATCATAAGAGAAAAAATAAGATATTCAATAATCAAAATAAGGATAAATAGTCACTACTGTTCAAATTTAATGATTAAAAACTATGAGAAATTCAAAAATTTTGAAGATCTTACCCTAAAGAATTGGCCTCATAGGTTTGAGAAATAGGATAGAGTATAATTTTCTTTAATGTGCACTGGCCTTAACGGTATTGATTTAATAGTGGGCTGATAAAAAAAAGAAACACTTTGTCTTATAACAAAAGATTATGTATTAATTGTGATCATCAATATATAAACTGAAAATTAATTTCATATTTTAATAATAAAAACAGTCTCATATATATATCTAAAAACTTATATCAATAGTTAAGTAATTCCAAGGGTGAAAGATAATATTTATGCAAATTTATTTTCTATTTAGTCTTCAATTTTTTTGATTTTTTATTTTTCATAAAAAGGCGAATCTTAATATTATTATCCAAAATCTTGTATTAATCAACTTCATCAGAAACTTTAAGAAGTCAAGTGAATTTTTTTTAATTAAAAAATGAATTCTTTTTATTCTTCTACTTAAAATAATAATAATAAAATCGACAAATATTCATAAATCTCAAGATTTTTATGATGCAAATAGAAATCATTTTTAAAAGACTAAATTTATAATTCATTTCAAGATATTATGGACAGGCATCTTAAAATAATTAGTAATTAGAATGGCTAAAGTTTTATTGTTTCTATAGGATAGATCAAATTATATTCTAAGTTTCTTTCTAAGAATTAAAATAAAAAGTCACCTGCCTTTAGCATTTACATTTACCTTGATGAATATTGAAAATATCTTTTTAAACTATAACGGATGGAACCTAGTTATCAATAAAAAGAAAAGTGACATCATATATATAACTTAAGAAGAGCACTTTAAGGAATCCCAAAGCTCTATTAATTCAAAAATAAGGGAGTTAAAATCATTAATAAAGGAAATATCAGGAAGGATTAAAAAATAAATTTCATAAACCTAAACTTACTTTAGATTTCCTCTAAAATGAATTTCGATCAAATCTTTTAGTCATACATTGAGCCAATTTTTATTATGCAGTTGCGAAACTTGCTTGAATGTCTGAGAATCTTAATCTGCGTTTTCTTGGGCTTTATGTCAATAAAACTAATAAAGAATTACATGTAAACATATTAATAGAAATTCATTTATCACTTATAATGGATGAATTGTTACTTAGATGAGAATAAAATAAATTGAAAATTCCTTAAAAATTAAAATAGAAAAATTATTAGAAAATTAAAAAAGAACTAGTTAAACCATTATAAAGCAGTCTTTGAGCCAAGAAAATCCATACTAATTTGGTTTGAATGTAATTTTGTATCTTAAATTTCAAATTTGGGCAATAATAATAATAATTCGTTTTTGAATTGTTTCCTACTAAATGAAACATTTGAAACATTGCCTAATCTCTCAGTGACAATTATTATTATAGGTCCATCCATTTCCTTAATTTAAATTAATTGAGTGATATCACGATCAAAATTATTGAAACTTATTTTGATATATTCCTTAAATCTACTAACTAAGGAACTAGACATTTTCCTACCACTACTAGAAGCTGAAGTTAAACCAAACGAAGACTAGCTAGACTTGATAGGAGCAATTTTATCCCAGTCTTTGCCTACCTTCGTTATATTTCTCTTTGGTACTCGATTGTTTAAGTCTTTTACAGAGATTTGATATGAATTTACAGGATTCATTAATGATAATTTTAATAGTTTAAACACCTGTAACAGGGAATACATTAGAATGGATTTAGATTAAATTTTTCCCATTTAGTCATTATCTTCCTCGGATTTAAGAATTTTCTTTTGATAAAAATTTCCAAACAGAACTCTTGTTTATCAAAATAACAATTCCTTTATATTTTGTTGTAAACGTCTGCGCAAATAGCCTAAAATTAGGTTATGGCACAGAAATGATTATATGAGGAATTAATTGAAAGTATTCCAAGGAATAATCAGTTTCACTAGGGGAGGGATCTAAGTTAGTTCATTTCGAGTGAACACTTCATCTAATTGTTCTTATTGGAAAATTTAAGAACCATACCACTAAATTTAACTAATTTTTAGTTTTACCAGGTTTTAATTAATTTATAATCATCTTCAGAGCATTATAAAGCATTTAGGAAGGTTTTATTATGAAGAATTGTCGGTTCATGTTGTCAAATTCTAACTAGAATCATTGACACTTAAGTTTTGAATCTAATTTTGTTATTATTAAATCTCATTAAAAAAATTTAAACTTGAAATTTGTGAAAATCAATTTTCTGGGAATTTAGTTAATGTTCATGTCCTTCAGATTAGCTCTTAAGTGTTTAAAGGACAATCCAGATTTATCATTAAATATTTTAGAAAGCATTCAATTTTATTTAAATTTATCTAAATATCAATATTTGGGAAAGTACTGGATTCTTGATCTCTTTCTATAATTATCCAAAAATTCTAAAACTATTAATTAAGTAATTTCTAGTAATCGTCTGAATTTTATTATATGGTTTTAATTTTATAACAAGAAATTATAGAATGGACAAAGTCTTAGAGAGACCAAGAGTCATTTTCAAAGAGTACCTCCATACCTTCTCCAATAGAAACTAAGTTTATTAATTTACGCATAAAAGACTAGAAGTGTGGTCTAATTTAACTATTCCACAATTAAGTCATATGCCCAAGTTGGAGTAATTTATTTAAGGATATTAGCTGATTAGTTATAAACGATACTATCAAATTACAAGGATTTCTATGCTTAGCTAAGTTACCTTTTAAATCAATATAGACTTTAAGATAATTTTTTTCACCTTATATACTAAAAAAAAACAATGTTAATATGATTTAGACTTTGCTGTCATTAATATTAATGCTTTGTTAAAATTAACATTTCAGCTAGACTTTTAAAACTCTCTATAAATCATTTGTAATTGAATCATTTATAAACATTTGTGTAGAACAAACCTTAAGAATATAAAAAAATATTTTTTTAAATATTTTCTTTTTCCCATTTATTTTCTTAAATAATTTGGATTTTGAAAATTGTTACACATGTTTTCAACAATTTCATGGAAATAAACATCAAACAAAAAAGAAACCATTAGTCAAACCTTATGGATTCAGTTTTTGAAATCGACTTTTTTCTTAACAATTGAGTCATTCAAGCTTTTCTAAATCCCTAGAATAAAAATATTATGAATATCTTTCTTAACTCATTAAAACATCAAACAATCTTGATCTATCTACGCGATGATATGGATTGGATAAATCATAAAACAATAAAGATCTTGACTATTTTATTGAGTTTGATGAATATCTTTTATTAACTATTTAATTATTTAACCAATACATATCTACCGAAAAAAGATACGAAGTACGCGTTAATTAATTTTAAAAAGTTTGTTTAAACAATAATGGCCCTTTATTCTTCTATTGTATTGTTAAGAGGCGCGCTAGTCACGTTCTAAATTAAAAAATCAAAAAATCGTTAAAGCAACTCCGAATTAATTAAAGATATATTATCTGGTTAGGAAGTTTAATTTAGTAATTAATATTTAAATTATTGAAAATCTTTTTTAGAAATTCGGAAAAACAGGTTTATAATCTTACATGATACCAAGACTCATTGTTCACTCCATATTATGAAATGGAATGAAAATTTTCTCTCAATTGCCCTTTAAGGTAATTAACTTGGATTTCTCAATGAAGCTTATAAAACCTAATAAGATTCCCTACTGTAGCTTAATTGTAAAAAGCCTTAAGAATTTTTAGAACCTAGTATCTTTAAGCTGCTTTACTTAAATATTAATAATTAGTTCTATTACATTCACCTTGAAACTCCTTAACTTTGAATCTACCTTATAAGCCTTCTGTTTTAGGTCTAAAAACTATTATCTTGGATAAAAAATCAAATACTTTAATTTTGAAATTTGAATCACGAATGTCGCAATTTTAATATTCATTTAAATTAATAAACCTCATATATATCTCTTAAAAAAAGGTTATATATATATGAAGATAATAATATACAATCTTAAATAATGTTTAAATTATTTAGTAATAATTTAGAGTAGCATATTTATTTTATTAGGTAAACTTCATTTATTGTTCTCTGAGTTTAATATTCTATTTAAATATTAATAAGATGTAAGGGAAAGTTTCAGTATACTTTCTTTATTTTCAACTTTATTTAAACAATTCATCATCTTTGCGTGCATAAAAAGTAAATAAATTTAATAATTAAAACTCCTACGTTAAGCTAAATAGTTACATAATAATAATATTTATTTCAGGATATCCATATCATCTATCAGTGGGTTTTTAGCCAAAAATTTTTTAATGAAAAATTTAAATCGCTCAGAAAACTTGAAAATTAAAGAGAGTTTTTGAGTCCTAAAACATCATTTAAAAATAACCAAGACTTTAATATTAAATATTGCCAAATTTAAATAAGATGGAGTTAATGATTTTTTTAATTCTAAATAGGTTCAAAGTTAATTGGTTATTTATTATAAAAAATTAGTAGTGAGAAATAATTTTTTTGATTTCTATTTACTTTTAACTTTAGACATTAATTATTTTTTTATATATTATGAATAATATTTAATAAAATATTCTTATTCAAAGAATAGATTATAATTTGATAATAAAAGAAACTAATAAGCTTAAATTAAACAAACCTATTAATTCACTTCAAAAAGAAGATTGTTGAGTTAGAAATTATTAAAATAAAAATAAAATAACAAGTTTAAATATATCAACTAATCAACCAGAAAAAGACATTTAATTGAAGGAAGAATTATTACTTTTCATAATGAATAATTTATTTTATTAAATTATGATATTCACTTTTAAAAAGATTAATTATATTAAAATAGAATGATGTCATAAAAATATAAAATTTTAATTCATTTATTTAATATCTCATGTGATTAATACTTCTTATATTTATAATCCCAAAATACCAAATACTATCCATTATTTGACATAGTTCCATAAATATCATTTTAACAATCTAATGTTACGATAATATTAAATGTGCCATCATTTAATTGCCTAATCGGATAGATATTATGTTTATGTCTCACCAATATTATATTTTTATCTTTATTGTGAATAATTGGGAAATAGCTAACATCATCACATTCATTATTGTTATTCAATTTGATAGTTTTATTATTATTTTATTAAAAGACTCCATTCTATATTTCAAACACCAAAATATCATCAACATTCTTTTTTAGAGTTACCCAAAGTAATTGTTGATCATTAATTAAATATATTTTACGTCCATAATCTGAAACATCTTTTCTATATTTAAACTCCCATTTTCCTTATTCTCCTTTCTCCCAAATGATAAAATGATTATATCCACATGATACCAATATAGTTTCAGATGAATTAAAACTGAATGATTCCATACAATTGCCATGTTAATCTAATGAATACTAAAAATTCAAATTATTCTTAATAAAATCTACATTCCAAACTTTTATTGAATAATCAAGACCTCCTGAAATAAGTTGATCCTCCTGTTTATTTAACATCAAACAAATAACTTTACGACTATGTTATTTGAATGGTTATGAACACTTCCAGTTTTTTTGATTAATTTATTGCCAGCAGATGATAGTATTATCATCAGAACCAGAAATAAAGTTATTTCTCACTTTGCTATATACCAAACAATTAATAGCCTTATTATGTTCTTAATATTTATTAATTAATTTTAATCTTCCTTATTAAAAAAAAAAAAAATTCCAAATT